CTGGATTCGGACTCGAGTGCCGATTTTTGGGACTCGTGACTCGACTCGGACTCGCGCATTGATTGACGCGACTCGGACTTGGACTCGTGAATTCTCGCGCACGATGACTTGGACTCGGACTCGTGAATTCTCGCATACGATGACTTGGACTCGGACTCGTGAATTCTCGCATACGATGACTTGGACTCGGACTCGTGAATGTTCCCCCCCACGATGACTCGGACTCGGACTCGTACATTGACGCTCCGACTTGGACTCGGACTCGAGCAAGTTTTCTCTGGAGTCTGATGTCCTCTATCCTGGCGTGTGCACCGGCTGCGAGGCGAGTTCACGTACTGGGCCCCGCTATTCCAGTCTAAAGATGTCTAGAGACACACCCCGCATCGTGCTGTATGCTTTCACACATTCTGCTTCCACTTTGGAAAAGAGCAGCAAAATGCTCGTTATGTGGAAACAATATTGAAGAGAAGGCTCCGTAACACATTACTCTAAACATCGAGTTCAGACATATAGGCTGAACACTATCATCAGAGTAACGTGATCTAATCAATAAATAAAGATTCAGCCGATAACACGAAAGCACACGGCTACTTAACATGCATAATGACGTCATTTTGCATGTTAAGTAGCCATGTGCTTTCTGGGGCTCAATCTTTATCAGTAAACCGATTTAACCGGTAAAAGTTCCTTCAAAATAAGAGTCCCGATCTTATTACTATCAAAATAAAAGTGCAAAACGAAAACTTTACCATAGGAAAATATTGGCATACAAATATAATCACTTCTCTAAAAGGTAACTAATTTTAAATATAGTTAGACATATTATGGGTCATTTACAATAATAATAATATTAATATTAGTAATACGCTTTATATTTGTATAGCACCTATTACAAGACTTGTAGCCAAACTGGCTTCACAGCAGTTCAATAGACAGATTAGTATAACATGACAGGATGAAAGCAATGTAGAGGAGCAGCTACATTTCAACACATATATCCACGAAGATTAATACATGAAGACTTGTGACTCTGACTTGACTTGGACTCTTCTGAGGTGACTCGGACTTGGACTCAGACTCAAACACAGGTAATGATGACTTGGACTCGACTCGGACACTCCTTGGGTGACTCGGACTTGGACTCGGACTCGAACACAGGTAATGATGACTCGGACTCGGACTCGACTCGGACACTCCTTGGGTGACTCGGACTTGGACTCGGACTCGACTACGACTCTCCCTTGGTGACTCGGACTTGGACTCAGACTCGAAGAGTGGTGACTCGAGAGTGACTTGGACTCGTGAATCGGTGACTTGACTACAACACTGGTGTCACCTCACGATGTGAAACGATGTCATGGATGTGCAGAAAAGATAAATAATAAGGTTTTGTGAGTGATTTTCGGTGCAGTAATCTGTTAGCATTCTTCGCTCGTTGCTAATTCAGAGGCTCAGTGTTAGCATTGTGGGTTTTATTTTGAAAAAAAAATAAGAACGATCAGTTCAAATCAAATCAAATCAAGGTTTATTTATAAAGCACATTTAAAAGCGATTTTTGGTCAAAGTTAGATGAGTTTCTTCCCGTTACATGGATATAAAACATTCATAGTTTATTAAATGAACATGCCCTCAGACACTGTTTCCTGCAAGATGTTGCGGGAGGGCCTCGGTACCGGGGTCTCTCGGGCTTAACAGGTTAATGGCGCCTGAAGTTGGAAGAAAAACTCTAGCTCTGAGCCTGATGACAAAATCTAACGAAACCACAAAAGCTCTCTGAGATGGGAAACAAGCTTGTGTTGTAACATGTCTGCAGCCCACAGTGACAGGAAACACCAAACCGCTGTACAGAAACCTCTGGAGCAGAGACAACACAATACTGATCAACATTAAACACAAAAGACAAAACAAACGGATGGATTCACGTTGTATTTAACTGAAGACGTTTCAATAATCTCTACGTACTGGTTTACTTCACAGACTTGGGTTTGTTAGTGCTTTTGTTTTTATCTTTATAAAATAAGTTTCTCTGTTGTTCTCTCTTGGTCTGTGATTAATTAAGGTGTACCACAGGGTTCAATCCTAGGTCCTCTCAGTTTATATTTACATGCTGCTTTATCTGAGGAATTGTCTTTGTTTTGCAGACAATACGTGAAGAGTCTGATATAATTCAGTCAACGTAGCAGCTGGATTTTCTTTTGTAAATTTAGGAATTAGTTTAAGGAAATTAAGTGATAAGAGATCACCAAACTATAACAATGATCACCTGCAGCTGATACAACATGCTGCTACCAGTCTGTTACCCAGGAGGAAGTGTAACTGAGAGAAGTGAAATACAGACCTAAGAGGAGACAGAGAGATTCAGGGAGGAGCTAAGATGTTCCTGAACTATAGAAGAGAGATGAACTTCCATATTCACCAGAGTTCAACACAGACCATCATCATCACCTTCATTCAACATGCTGTCCCTGCAGAACTCAGCTTTTTCTCTGATGTTGTTTGCAATCTTATCCGGTTAGTAGATGGATAAAATATCAGTGTCAACGCTTTCTGAGTGTGGTTCTGCTAAAAGGACTTTTATAACATTAAATAACAGAGTTATTCTTTCCCTTAGGCGTCAGCTGTGAAGATCTGACTCCAGTCAAAACAGAAGAGTTCAGTTCAGAAGGCAGCACTGTTACTCTGTCCTACAAAGCTGGATCTAATGCTTTGTATTACTTCTGGTATCGACAATATCCTGGAAAACCACCAGAGTTCCTCATCTCACACTCTGCTTCAGGCCAAGTAGGAACTAACCCAATCCCTGGACTGAATATTACAGTGACGAAAAAGCAAATGGAGTCAAACCGAATCAATATGATCATCTCCTCTGCTGCAGTGACAGACTCTGCTGTGTACTACTGTGCTCTGCAGCCCACAGTGACAGGAAACACCAACACTCTGTACAAAAACCTTTGGAGCAAAGACAACACAGTACTGCACAGCATCCACCAGAGGGAGTCTCTCTCTGTCAGACTTCAGCAGAGTTTATCAGTCCTCTTTATACTCGCTGTAGCTCAGAGTTTCTCAACCTGCAGATATGATGCATCTGATTATCTCAGTGTTGCTGGCTGCTATGAGTCTTGGTATGAACTCTTTGATATCAGTCCAACATTGAGATGATTCTCTAACATGTCCCTGATACTGTTTGTTGCTGTTTTACAGAATGCAGAGCCCAAAGAGACAACGTGCTGCAACCTGAAGCAGAAAAGACTGCTACTAAAGGAGAGGCAGTAACACTTGGCTGTCACTATAACAGCAGTTCATCAAATGACTATCTCTTCTGGTACAAACAGCTCGGAGACAACAGCCCCACATTCATCCTGAGCCGCTTTAAGATCGGCACGGGGAAAACAGAGGACGAGGACAGATTCTCATCCACACTGGATTCAATCTTAAGATCCGTTCCTCTGAAGATCCAGAAGCTTCAGCTGTCTGACTCTGCTGTGTACTACTGTGCTCTGCAGCCCACAGTGACAGGAAACACCAACACTCTGTACAAAAACCTTTGGAGCAAAGACAACACAATACTGCACAACATCCACCAGAGGGAGTCTCTCTCTGTTAGACTTTAGGGAAACAACACAAGAAACTCTCAAACAATTCAACCCCCAGCAGAGAGGCATCTTTTATTTGATGCTTCAACACCACGTTACTTTAATTTATCTCTCACATTTATCCTAATACTTTTTAATGAGAGCATTCCACCATGTGCCAGACTCCTGATGGACCTTCACCAACACTTCCTGTTATTCATATTTATTCCCACAGGCCCTGAAAACTGCAGTCTTCAAACCACTCTTAAAGAACTACCTAGGCGCTTCACTGATGAACATTTATAGGCCGGGTAAAATAATAAAAAAGTTCAACAGCTAAAGAGCTGTTTTGGCACTAAATAACTGTTTTGATGTGTTCCAGTCACACAGCACTGAGACTGCTCTAATTAACGTTTTAATCGACTTAAACACAGACAGTGGCAGAATCTCACTGTCAGTATTATTAGTTCTCAGCGCTGCATTTTAAACTGTTGAACACAACATATTACTAGACCGACTGGAAAACTGGGTGGGACTCTGGCACTGTTTGTATTGGTCTGAATGCTACTTAACAGACAGGAAAAACGTTGTTTCTATAGGTAACTAAACAACTGAGTTGACAAATATGACATGTGGCGTTCCTCAAGGCTCTATCCTGGGGACTCTTCTCTTTAACATCTACATGCTTCCACTAGCTTAGTTAATGGATAACAATGAAATAAGTTACCATAGCTATGCAGACGACACACACGTGATAACATGAAAAAAGAAACTGAGAGAAGTGAAATACAGATCTAAGAGGAGACAGAGAGATTCAGGGAGGAGCTAAGATGTTCCTGAACTATAGAAGAGAGAGGAACTTCCATATTCACCAGAGTTCAACACAGACCATCATCATCACCTTCATTCAACATGCTGTCCCTGCAGAACTCAGCTTTTTCTCTGATGTTGTTTGCAATCTTATCCGGTTAGTAGATGGATACAAAATCAGTGTCATTGCTTTCTGAGTGTGGTTCTGCTAAAAGGACTTTTATAACATTAAATAACAGAGTTATTCTTTCCCTTAGGCGTCAGCTGTGAAGATCTGACTCCAGTCAAAACAGACGAGTTCAGTTCAGAAGGCAGCACTGTTACTCTGTCCTACAAAGCTGGATCTGATGCTAATTATTACTTCTGGTATCGACAATATCCTGGAAAACCACCAGAGTTCCTCATCTCACACTCTGCTTCAGGCCAAGTAGGAACTAACCCAATCCCTGGACTGAATATTACAGTGACGAAAAAGCAAATGGAGTCAAACCGAATCAATATGATCATCTCCTCTGCTGCAGTGACAGACTCTGCTGTGTACTACTGTGCTCTGCAGCCCACAGTGACAGGAAACACCAACACTCTGTACAAAAACCTTTGGAGCAAAGAGAACACAGTACTGCACAGCATCCACCAGAGGGAGTCTCTCTCTGTCAGACTTCAGCAGAGTTTATCAGTCCTCTTTATACTCGCTGTAGCTCAGAGTTTCTCAACCTGCAGATATGATGCATCTGATTATCTCAGTGTTGCTGGCTGCTATGAGTCTTGGTATGAACTCTTTGATATCAGTCCAACATTGAGATGATTCTCTAACATGTCCCTGATACTGTTTGTTGCTGTTTTACAGAATGCAGAGCCCAAAGAGACAACGTGCTGCAACCTGAAGCAGAAAAGACTGCTACTAAAGGAGAGGCAGTAACGCTTGGCTGTCACTATAACACCACTTCATCAAATGACTATCTCTTCTGGTACAAACAGCTCGGAGACAACAGCCCCACATTCATCCTGAGCCGCTTTAAGATCGGCACGGGGAAAACAGAGGACGAGGACAGATTCTCATCCACATTGGATTCAAGCTTAAGATCCGTTCCTCTGAAGATCCAGAAGCTTCAGCTGTCTGACTCTGCTGTGTACTACTGTGCTCTGCAGCCCACAGTGACAGGAAACACCAACACTCTGTACAAAAACCTTTGGAGCAAAGACAACACAATACTGCATAACATCCACCAGAGGGAGTCTCTCTCTGTTAGACTTTAGGGAAACAACACAAGAAACTCTCAAACAATTCAACCCCCAGCAGAGAGCCATCTTTTATTTGATGCTTCAACACCACACTACTTTAATTTATCTGAAACATTTATCCTAATAACTTTTTATGAGTGCAGTCCACCAGGTGCCAGACTCCTGATGGACCTTCACCAACACTTCTTATTTTTCATATTTATTCCCACTTGCCCTGACATCTGCAGTCTTCAAACCACTCTTAAAGAGCAAGCTAGGGCAGGGGTCGGTAACCGTAGGCACGTGGCACGCGGTACCGTAACCAGTGGCACACTAGGAATAAGTAGAATAAGTGTGCAAAATATTTAAATTGTATTTTCGGATCCTGAACGAGACCGCCGCCAGAGCGCGTCTCCCCGTTACCTGCAGAAGGAAGACATGCACGCAACGCAGCGCAGAAGGAAACAAAAAATGTAAGAAATCTAGACCGCAAGAGAATTAAACAAGCGACTGCCTGTTTTTCCTGGCCATGTTCAGGTTCCTTGAACACAACACAAGCGTAACGTGTCATTACGGGGTATAGTGCTGCCAGAACGCGGCTCCGGCACTTCAAAAATTGCAGTACCCATAAGGAGCCCCATGAAAAGATAATCACATTGGTTGCTTAAACATTTTTTTCTTAATGTTCTCAAATTGTTTGGGCCCCTGTCAGTCACGGGCCCTCAGAATCGTCCTAACTTTTCACCCCCTTACGGCGCCCCTGCGTACACATGCCGCAGTTTTTGCGTGGCTGTGTCTTTAGTTGTAAGCCCAGTGGCATCTGTTCATCTGACATATGATCATACAATAATGCCATGGAAAATAATATGCTACATTACAGTTCAACTGTTGATAAACATCAACAGTTAGTGATGATACAGTAATGTTGTTTACCTGCTTGATCATTTGAAATCTGTGAACAATTTTACCATAGAAACACATGTACTGCCTTGATTCAAGTAGTCTCCATGAACTAAAAATAAGTGTCTCTAATTTTCTGTCAGTCTGTGATTTGATGTGGTGTACCACAGGGTTCAATCCAAGGTCCTCTCACTTTGTCATTGGTTTCAGTTTATCTCGAAACCCAATGTGATCGTAGGTTCTATTGGAACAGCAGCTTGTGTTGTGGTGTTCAAGACCTTTTCAATGTTGGGTATGAAGTACAATTCTTATTAGAATAAGATCATTTTAAACAGATTTCTCTCTAGATGAAACACCTCTCACTAATCTGACTTCACGTTAACGCCCGTCATTGTTATTGCCACGTTTTCCTTCTTTACTGACTGATCAAACACTTGAAATCACCTCTCTCAATAAACTGGTACACATCACACACTCAAGATTTGATTGCTTTTGTTCTTATCTTTATACATTACAATTCTCTTTTGGTCTGTGATTTGATGTGGTGTACCACAGGGTTCAATCCTAGGTCCTCTGACTTTTTATTTACAGACTGCCTTTGGATCTGTTACCCAGGAGGAAGTGTAACTGAGAGAAGTGAAATACAGATCTAAGAGGAGACAGAGAGATTCAGGGAGGAGCTAAGATGTTCCTGAACTATAGAAGAGAGAGGAACTTCCATATTCACCAGAGTTCAACACAGACCATCATCATCATCACCTTCATTCAACATGCTGTCATTAGATAATTGTTTCATTTTTTTATTTTTAGTGTCCGTTCTAAGAGGTATGTAACATTCTGCGCGAAAAAGTTGAATTACAGATTAATTTAATGCGATTTATTAAATAAATACTTTGAATTACTCCTCTCTCCAGTCAGCTGTGAAGATCTCACTCCATCAAAGCAAGAAGAGTTCAGTCCAGAAGGCAGCACTGTTACTCTGTCCTACAGATACTCCAAAACTATAACGGCTAGTGAAGATTTCTTCTGGTATCGACAATATCCAGGAAAACAACCAGAGTTTCTTCTCTACATCTCAGGAACAAGTTTTACAAGACTAGCAGAGTCTCTGAAATCAGACACAACGTTCTCTTCTAAACTGTCTGCAGAAAAGAACATATATCTGAGCATCTCCTCTGCTGCAGTGACAGACTCTGCTGTGTTCTACTGTGCTGTGAGGCCCACAGTGACAGGAAACACCAACACTCTGTACACAAACACCAGCTGACACACTGACAAGCTGCTGGAAGCCTTTTCTCCACACTGTTGTACTGAGCTGTTCACCTCCACTAGAGGGCCACATTATCAAGTAGGCGGTGCACGTCTTCTGCACTGTGTTCAACCATCCAGTCAATAAGAAGTGCTGCTGTGAAGAGAACCATCCTCACACTGAATGCTGAACATCAGCTACTTCCTGCTGCTGATTTAAACCTTGTTGTAGAGATGGAACATTGGCTGTGGATTATTCTTGCTGCTCTCTCCTTTGGTAAGATAGAAACTACAACATGTTTCTAGGTAACTGTTTAAAGTTACTGATTGTTCTCCTTTAATCCATCATCTTTATTGATTCATCTCTTCCTCTGCATGGTCTCTTCTTCCCCAGAGTGTAAAGGACAAGACACAGTGACCCAGCCAGCAGGAGATGTCAGCGCTACTGAAGGAGACACAGTTACACTTGGCTGCACATTTCAGATCAGTGTTAGCTCGAGTGCATATTTGTTCTGGTATAAACAAGAAGCAAATGATATGCTTTTGTTTATTTTGCGACGTGATACTTATGGAACAGAAGATAATGCTGCAGAGTTCCAGAAAGACAGATTTGATGCTACACTCAATGACAAATCAGTTCCTCTGCAGATCTCCTCTGCTGCAGTGACAGACTCTGCTGTGTACTACTGTGCTCTGAAGCCCACAGTGACAGGAAACACCACAACTCTGTACAAAAACCTTTGGAGCAAAGACAACACAGTACTGCACAGCATCCACCAGGGGGAGCCTCTCTCTGTTAAACATACAGTGTTGCTGGCTGCTATACTACCATACAAACACATGTACTGCCTTTGATTCACATCCAAAGGTTCCAACGTGTAACTCAATCAGTGAATCTGGCCTGTTATCACAGGTACAAATACAAGTAAGTAGTCTCCACAACAACAACAAATATAAGTTTTCAGTTTTTCTGTCAGTCTGTGATTTCTTGTGGTGTACCACAGGGTTCAATCATATGTCCTCTCACTTTCTCATTGGATTCGGTTTATCACTAAGCACAACAAGCCAAATAACGCTGTTCTAAATGCAGCAGAGAACAGTATACCCAAAACAACAACCAAGGGTAGGAAGAAAGTGGTGCCATGGTGGAATGAGGAATGCAGCAGGGCTATTAAAGAGCGAAATAATGCATTTAGAGAATTAAAGAAAAATATGACACAAAATAATGTTATAGAGTTTCAAAGGAAAAGGGCAGCTGCTCGAAGGACAATCAAATACACAAAAAAAAGAACATGGAGAGAATTTTGTTCTACCATTGGCAGAGGAGTAAAATTAGGTGATGTCTGGTCCATGTTTAAGCGGATGAGTGGGAAAAGGAAATCCATTACAATTCCAGCTTTGGTTGATGGGGAGAGGCTGGCAGTGACAGATAAAGAGAAGGCAGACATGTTAGGAAGGACACTTGCAGCAGTACATAGCGGGGAACATCTCAGTGATATTCATAGGCAGCAAAAACAGCAGTTACTAGCAGAGAATGAAAACGTGAAGGAGAAGAGACAGGATAATAGGTCAGCTCTTGATGTGGAATTTACAATGTCAGAACTCAAAATAGCCTTACAAGGTACAGGTTATACAGCCCCAGGACAAGACCAGCTATGTTATGCTATGTTTAGACAGTTGCCTATGGAAACTATGACAATGGTGCTGAGTCTTTTCAATAAAATCTGGAGAGAAGGAGATATGCCAAGTTTGTGGAAAACAGCAGTCGTGCTACCATTCAATAAGCCAGGGAAAGATACACCCTAGTAACTACAGACCAATAGCTCTTACATCACACCTATGTAAATGGATGGAAAAGATCATTGTCCGTAGGCTCTCACATGTACTGGAGCAGAAAGGGCTGCTGAGTCGTTTTCAGAGCGGATTTCGTAAAGGGCGGTCCACAATAGATGCTTTAGTAAGAGTGAGTAATGATGTGGAAAAAACACTGAAAATGAAAGAGATAATGGCAATAGTGTACTTTGACATTGAAAAGGCGTATGACTGTATGTGGAGGGATGGGTTACTGATCAAATTGAGTAGAATGGGTATTGGAGGGAGAATGTACAATTGGGTAAGGGCCTTTTTAACAGACAGGACATTTAGAGTAAAGGTTGGAGCAGATATTTCCAACTATTTAGAAATAGAAAATGGTATCCCCCAAGGGAGTGCAGTCAGTCCAATATTATTTAACATCATGATCAATGATATATTTACATGTTTAGACACATGCATTCAATCGGCTCTATACGCAGATGATGGGGCTATTTGGATGAGGGGAAGAAATGCCTCACGTAATGGAGAATATAGCTAGAGCGATTAAAAAGTGGAGAGGTGGTCATATAACTGGGGATTCAAAATGTCAGAAAGCAAGTCATGCTACATGGTATTCACAAACAAACGCAAGATTGATGGCCAACAGCTAACACTATATGATCGTCCAATGACAAAGGTGAATGAGTTCAAATACCTAGGACTGTGGTTTGATAGCAAATACACATGGGAAATGCATATTAAACAAGTGGAAACAAAATGCAAAAAAGTATTAAATGTATTGCGAGCTGTAGCTGGATGCAACTGGGGCGCAAACAAACAAGCATTAATAAACATTTACAGATAAATTATGAGGTCCACAATAGATTATGGTTGTATAGTGTATGGAGCAGCAGCAAAAACATCGCTTTTAAAAATGGATAGAATACAATATAAAGCATTGCGGTTGTGTATAGGAGCGATAAAGTCATCCCCTATCAATGCAGTTCTGATAGAAGCAGGAGAGACACCTCTGGAGATCAGAAGAGAGACACTTGCTCTGTCATACTGGGTCAGGCTACAAGGAAGTGGAGAGGGAAATATTTCAAACAGAATATTACAGGATTGCTGGGAATATGCAAAATTCCAGGGACGTGGGTTTGGCTGGACGAGTAAGGAGAGAACGAGGGCATATGGAGTGGAGAATATCACGTTTGCCAAAGCAACCCCATTTAGCAGTGTTCCCCCAGGGCTTTCCCCAGAAGCTAACATAGATATGAGTTTTGTAGAAAGGAAAAAAGAGTGGCAAGTAAATGAAGTGGGAATTAAAACAAGTATGTATCTGAATGAAAAGTATTACAATGACCTACAAATGTACACAGATGGTTCTAAGAACAAGGAAGAGTGTGTTGGAATTGGTATATACATCCCAGAATTTAAAATATCTATTTCAAAAAGAGCGTCTGATCAATTATCAGTGTCCACAGCAGAAATGCTGGCAGTAATAATAGGATTACAGTGGGTTGAAGAGGTCAGACCAGATAGGGTGGTGATGTGCACAGATTCATTATCCAGTCTACAAAGCATACAGTCAACAACAACTGCCAGAGAAGACATTCTCATAGAACTGAATCATAGCCTGTTAAGACTGCACAGAGGCGGCATAGATCTGCAGTTCTGCTGGGTGCCTGCACATGAGGGGGGTGAAAGGGAACGAGTGTGCTCATGAGGGGGTGAAAGGGAACGAGTGTGCTCATGAGGGGGTGAAAGGGAACGAGTGTGCTCATGAGGGGGTGAAAGGGAACGAGTGTGCTCATGAGGGGGTGAAAGGGAACGAGTGTGCTCATGAGGGGGTGAAAGGGAACGAGTGTGCTCATGAGGGGGTGAAAGGGAACGAGTGTGCTCACGAGGGGGTGAAAGGGAACGAGTGTGCACATGAGGGGGTGAAAGGGAACGAGTGTGCTCACGAGGGGGTGAAAGGGAACGAGTGTGCTCATGAGGGGGTGAAAGGGAACGAGTGTGCTGATAAATGAGCAAAAAGTGCACTACAAAAGGAAATCACATTACCAGTTCAACTTGGAGAAGGAGAAGGGAAAGCAGTCATTAAGAAGAAAGGGATGGAGATCTGTCAGAAAAGGTGGGAGAAAGACCAGAAAGGCAAAGAGTATCACAAAGTACAAAAGACAATTACAATTCATATTTATAAAGAAAGAAACAGAAGGGAGGAAATCACGATCGCTAGACTCAGAATAAATCACGATAGCTTTGAATGGTACTCTGTATGTCATGGGGAAAAGTGACAGTGACAAGTGTGGGAGCTGTGGAGTTAAAGAAGATGTAGAACATATCTTGATACATTGTGACATCTATAAAGCTGAAAGAGGAAAACTAAAGGCTGAAGTTTTAGAGGCAGAGAGGGAATGGAGTGTGGTTGGTATGTTGGGAACAAAAGGAGAGGGAGTGAGAGCTACCAGAAAGGCACTGTTTACATTCTTGAGTGAAACTGGGGTAGGAAAAATAATTTAACATTAGGTCAGGAAAGAATATAGATTTTTATTTTTGTTTTATTTATTTCATGTTTTGTTTTTTGTTGATTTATTTATTTATTTTGATTAGATCATAGGTTAAAGAGTTGGTATGATATGATGATTCATACTCATGTACAGTAGGTGGCGGTATGCACCTTTTAAGTTATTTGCAATCCGCCAAAAACGAAGAGAAGAAGAAGAATCACTAAGCACAATGTGATCATAGGTTTTATTGGAACAGCAGCTTGTGTTGTGGTGTTCAAGACCTTTTAAATGTTGGGTATGAAGAAAAATTCGTATTAGATTAAGATCATTTTAAACAGATTTCTCTCTCGATGAAACACCTCTCACTAATCTGACTTCACGTTAACGGCCGTCATTGTTACGTTTTTTTTACTGACTGATCAAACACTTTAAATCACCTCTCTCAATAAACTGGTACACATCACACACTCAAGTTTTGATTGCTTTTGTTCTTATCTTTATAAAATAAGTTACTCTGGTGGTCTGTAATTTATTGTGGTGTACCACAGGGTTCAATCCTAGGTCCTCTGACTTTTTATTTACAGACTGCCTTTGGATCTGTTACCCAGGAGGAAGTATAACTGAGAGAAGTGAAATACAGATCTAAGAGGAGACTGAGAGATTCAGGGAGGAGCTAAGATGTTCCTGAACTATAGAAGAGAGAGGAACTTCCATATTCACCAGAGTTCAACACAGACCATCATCATCACCTTCATTCAACATGCTGTCATTAGACTATTATTTACATTCCCTACTGTTAGTTTCCATTCTAAGAGGTACGTAACATTCTGCATGAAAACGTTAACTTCTAATGTTGATCAAATGTGATCTATTAACTGAGTCTTTTGAATTACTCCTCTCTTCAGGGGTCAGCTGTGAAGATCTCACTGCATTACAGAAAGAAGAGTTCAGTCCAGAAGGCAGCTCTGTTACTCTGTCCTACAGATACTCCAAAGAAGCAACTGGTGGTGATGAGTTTTACTGGTATCGACAATATCCAGGAAAACCACCAGAGTTCATCATCTATCATTTAGGAACTGGAAACATTATAAATAATCTGATCCCTGGACTGAATATTACAGTGGAGTCAAACCAAATCAATCTGAGCATCTCCTCTGCTGCAGTGACAGACTCTGCTGTGTTCTACTGTGCTGTGAGGCCCACAGTGACAGGAAACACCAACACTCTGTACACAAACACCAGCTGACACACTGACAAGCTGCTGGAAGCCTTTTCTCCACACTGTTGTACTGAGCTGTTCACCTCCACTAGAGGGCCACATTATCAAGTAGGCGGTGCACGTCTTCTGCACTGTGTTCAACCATCCAGTCAATAAGAAGTGCTGCTGTGAAGAGAACCATCCTCACACTGAATGCTGAACATCAGCTACTTCCTGCTGCTGATTTAAACCTTGTTGTAGAGATGGAACATTGGCTGTGGATTATTCTTGCTGCTCTCTCCTTTGGTAAGATAGAAACTACAACATGTTTCTAGGTAACTGTTTAAAGCTACTGATTGTTCTCCTTTAATCCATCATCTTTATTGATTCATCTCTTCCTCTGCATGGTCTCTTCTTCCCCAGAGTGTAAAGGACAAGACACAGTGACCCAGCCAGCAGGAGATGTCAGCGCTACTGAAGGAGACACAGTTACACTTGACTGCACATTTCATATCAGTGGCACATATCCCTATCTGTTCTGGTACAAACAAGAAGTCAATGGTTACCCAAAGTACATGCTGAAGCGTTTCTCAGGAGGTCGAGATAAAGCTGCAGAGTTCAAGGAAGACAGATTTGAGGCTACACTCAACAAGACATCAGTTCCTCTGCAGATCTCCTCTGCTGCAGTGACAGACTCTGCTGTGTACTACTGTGCTCTGAGGCCCACAGTGACAGGAAACACCACAACTCTGTACACAAACCTCTGGAGCAAAGACAACACAATACTGCACAGCATCCACCAGAGATTCTCTCTGAAAAACTCCAACAGTATATTACAAAACAGTGTAGACTCTTTGTGACGGTGATACACAAATAAGTGCTTGAGGTAAACATACTGAGGGAAAGGGTTTTTTCATACGACATGTACTCTGATGATAATGACATTTTGTAAAACTTTACTTTCATTCTTAACAATACCTCATCATAACCGAATCTTAAAAATGTGGGAGGGAGTTAAACATCAATAGTTTGTGATCATACAGTAATGTAATTTACCTGCTTGATAATTTGAATTATACTGTGTGTAAATATCACTATTATACAAACACATGTACTGCCTTTGATTCACATCTGCAGGTTCAAATGTTTAACTCTTTTATCACAGGTTGAAATCAGTGGCGGCCGGTCCATAGGGGCGCTAGGGGCGCCGCCCCACCTCTTCCCATATTGAAAAAAAAAAATAATAATAATAATTTAAATTTAAATTTAAAAAAAGAAATATGTTTAAAAAAATATATATGTTTTTATTTTTATTTTTAATGAACAAGGTAAATATTATATAATTGGTATCAGTAAAATGTATAATCTACAATAAAATCTCGTTTAAAATTGTGTTACGATGTCTAAAGTTACTGATAAGTCACATGTTTCCTGCCTGGCCTTGCCCATGCACCTTCTCTCGTCTGGGCGCTAAGAGAGGAGCCTTCAACCAGTGCAGCAGCAGCCACCAGCAGCTGACTGTTGCTATCTGTAACGTGTAAACTATGCCGCGAAAATATAATTTCAGCCAATCAGCGTCGTCAAAGATGACGGTCACCGGGCGCCAATGTCAGCGCCCAGTGCAGTCTGTGAGTAGTTTGGACAGTGACTCGTATCCGGTTGACGCAGTAGTTGATGAGGATGGCATCGTGTGCAGGTGGAGTCTCCGGACCTCGGTCCCCGGCTAATTCTGTTCAAGAGCTAATCTCCAATCCTTTCGAAAGGAGAAGTTTGGCAGATAAATTGTTGCTTAAAGACCTTGCACCGGACCAACCCGATTTGAATATATCGCAGCAATCTCGTGAAAAAGACAAAATTTATACACGAGGCTTCACAAGTAGCTGGTACACAAGAAAGGCTTGGCTAGCTGGATGCAAACAGGTAAATGCTGTCTTTTGTTTCCCATGCTTGGATATCACTTTATATGTAGAGAGGAGGTTTCCCATGGTTGTTAGAAGTTTATTAATAAGTGGGCATTTATCACAGAAGTGATTGTTCTGTCTCCACGTTTGTTGCATTGTCTGTGATGTATTTTCCAACGGTTATAGCTCCTGTTCTGTCCCAGCAACACTACACGGTTTGCAGCTCCACCACATTTTTGGTTTATCTTCGGTGTCGCTTAAAATCTGCTTCCCATCGGACTAAAACCTCCACGTAATCTGAAGACAGATACTTGAAGTTATTTAAACCTTTTGCAAACTTTATGTTCTTTCTTGCTCTAGCCTTGCCAGTTACATTGTACATAACACATATATTATCATTATGCTAACTGGTTGTTCGTGTTAGACGATGTAGCTTTTTCATTTCTGAGTTATTGCTATATGTAAATAAGCCTGTTTGTAAATAATCCTGAGAGAAACAAAGAAAAAACACAATTTATGACATTTTGTGCTGTGGTTATTTTTTTTAAATTGCATTTATTCACAGTTCAGTTTGAAATGCTGTAGTGACTTGTATTGAACCACTTAAATATTTATAATTAATGCTACTGAAAAGATGCTATTAATTTTATATCTCACATGCAGTTCACTGTAAAGCTACTTGGTGAAGGTGTTGGTTCATAAAACATGAACAGTTTTAAGAAAGAAAAAAACAGACCAGTTCTGAGAACACAAATTCCTGGTAAAGTAGTAGATGTTCAGGTTGATAAATAATATTTTCCACACTGAAGATTATGGAGGTATTGATCAGTCTTCTCATATTTTTAAGCCTCGATTTCTCCTTTCCCCCCCCCTCTAACATCACCAGAAGTCATCATTTAAGGGGTCATTTCTCGAAAAAAATTTCGGGGGGGAAACCCCCCGGACCCCCCGGGTAGGTCACTTACGGTACGTCAAGAGCCCCACCAAAAAAAAAGACCACCGGCCGCCACTGGTTGAAATAAAAGTAAGTAGTCTCCATTAGTGATGGGAATTCCGGCTATTTTTAGTGAGCCGGATCATTTGGCTCGGCTCACCAAGAAGAGCCGGCTCTTTCGGCTCCCAAACGGCTCTTCAGTATTCAATACATTATTGAAAAATGTTATTTTTAATATAAATGATTTGCTGTGGCCAATTGCATTTACAGACCCTTGTAACTCTCTGATACAACCCAATGAATGCACTGACTTGCTTGTAGAAGCACGCTACACAAAGCAGATAGCAACACCTGTAACAACGTAAGCATAGACATTTAAAAAAAGGACAGCTACTGTATCGACATTTAAAAATTGTATTTAAAGAAAAAGCCCTAACAAAACAGCAGGGCTCTATTTCACTATTAAATAAAGAAAAAAAGACAGCAGACAGCTGAACTCAAATCTTTGCTGAGCCTAAAGATAATCATAAATAAATAACATAGTGAAAATAAATATATTGCAATGCTCAAAACAGCAACATCCAACCGTCTCTAATCCTTGGATATTACATGTCACTGCATGCATGCATTCACGGAGCACCCGTAACGCAGAGATCATCATATAATTCTGTCTTGTATTACTTAACGGGAAAAAAACGAAAAAAAACTTCTCGTTCGCGGGCACGAGCCGGCTCCCGTCGTTCACTTAAACGAGACGGCTCTTGGAGACCCATCTGTTTACTAAGGCCTTTGGCCCCTAAATCTATCTGTTGTTTTGTCTGTCTGACTGGTTGTCTGACAGCCTTTTGTTTTGTTATGTTTGTTTCTGCCCTATTCTTCTTTGTTAAGCGACCTTGGGTCCCATGAAAGGCGCTATATAAATCCAAGCTATTATTATTATTATTATTATTAACTCTGTACAAAAACCTTTGGAGCAAAGACAACACAATACTGCACAACATCCACCAGAGGGAGTCTCTCTCTGTTCAAACTCAATAGTTTGTGATGATACAGTAATGTAATTTACCTGCTTGATCATTTGAAATGTATGAACTATTGTTCACTACCATACAAATACATGTACTGCCTTGGAGTCACATCCACAGGTTCAAATGTTTAACTCAATCAGTGAATCTGGCCTTTTTCTCACAGGTTTAAATATAATGTAGTCTCCACGGACTAAAAATAAGTGTTTCTGTTTGTCTGTCAGTCTTTGATTTCATATGGTGTACCACAGGGTTCAATCCAAGGTCCTCTGACTTTTTATTTACAGACTGCCTTTGGATCTGTTACCCAGGAGGAAGTGTAACTGAGAGAAGTGAAATACAGATCTAAGAGGAGACAGAGAGATTCAGGGAGGAGCTAAGATGTTCCTGAACTATAGAAGAGAGAGGAACTTCCATATTCACCAGAGTTCAACACAGACCATCATCATCACCTTCATTCAACATGCTGTCCCTGCAGAACTCAGCTTTTTCTCTGATATTTTTTGCAATCTTATCCGGTTAGTTACACTCTGGATAAAACATCAGTGTCATTGCTTTCTGAGTGTGGTTCTGCTAAAAGGACTTTTATAACATTGAATAACAGAGTTATTCTTTCCCTTAGGCGTCAGCTGTGAAGATGTGACTCCAGTCAAAACAGAAGAGTTCAGTTCAGAAGGCAGCTCTGTTACTCTGTCCTACAAAGCTGGATCTAATGCTAATTATTACTTCTGGTATCGACAATATCCTGGAAAACCACCAGAGTTCCTCATCTCACACTCTGTTTCAGGCAGTGTAACTAAGCCAATCCCTGGACTGAATATTACAGTGGAGTCAAACCGAATCAATATGATCATCTCCTCTGCTGCAGTGACAGACTCTGCTGTGTACTACTGTGCTCTGCAGCCCACAGTGACAGGAAACACCAACAGTCTGTACAAAAACCTTTGGAGCAAAGACAACACAGTACTGCACAACATCCACCAGAGGGAGCCTCTCTCTGTCAGACTTTAGGGAAACAACACAAGATATTCTCAAACAGTTCTACCACCAGCAGATAGGCATCTTTTATTTGATGCTTCAACACCACATTACTTTAATTTATCTCTCACATTTATCCTAATAATGTTCAATTAGTGCATTCCACCATGTGCCAGACTCCTGCTGGACCTTCACCAACACGTCTCCTTTTTCATATTTATTCCCACACGCCCTGAAAACTGCAGTCATCAAACCACTCTTAAAGACAAATCTAGGGGCTTCATTGATGAACATTTATAGGCCGGTTAAAATAATTGAAAAAGTTCAACAGCTAAAAAGCTGTTTTGGAACTAAATAACTGTTTTGTTGTGTTCCAGTCACACAGTACTGAGACTGCTCTAATTAACTTCTTTAACCTGTTAAGCACCAAGCCTGTTTTTCATGTTTCAGGCTCGAAAATGACATGCCCAAAACAAATGACTACAACCTAACTTCTAAAAGGGTTATATGAATAATTTCTTTTATCAAAGCAAGGTTACATCTGTGAGTTGGATGTAGAAGTGTCAGAATCAATATAAATGTTTTTTATTTTAAAGAAAATTCAGATTTTACATCGTAAAAAACTGTAAATTATAGTGTCCGTCCAAAAATTATTTTTTACTTATAGTGAAAACTACCCTTGGATGATGGGTTAGTAGACTAAAAGCTTTAGGAATCCAAAGTACAACATATAATAAGTACCCTGTATCAAGATTGATGCAAAACAAGTGACATTTGACCTTTGAAGAGAGGTTTAGCCAAAACCACCCCACCTCTGATGTGATTTGGGTGAAAATGTTTTTTTTTCCATATCTCTGGCCCCCCTTGCTCGATTTTGATGGTTGACACCTCTTTCTGACCGTTAGAGCCAATAGAATCGAAGGGGGAGGCCCACATACACACTCATTGTAAAGAGAAAAAGTGGGGGCTGCGCGCATGTAATTTAGCATCAGAGTGGACCGATCTCTAGCTCTGGAATTTGG